GGTCATTTATACCCCATTATTTTCAATTTATATTTTTGGAATAATAATTTTTTTTTGAAGGATGTGTTGTTGAAAAAAATAAAGTTTGCGATTTACATGTAATATTATTTTATAAAAAAAATATGTGATTGGAAATAAGATAAATAAAATTATAATTTCAAAAAATGTGCTCCAATGGGGGCCTCGAGTTTCATGCTTTTGCCGGCAGCTCTAATAATGTTGTATCACACCTTTGTCGACAGTGAACTTTATCAAATTTTATGGCAAGACTTGATGTGGAGACCTTTGTACAAGTCAATATATTTTGTAAAATCATTCTATATATGTATTATTTCGTGATATATCAACAAAATGGGTGGTCCACTGTTCACAAGCCTTGAATTCATTATTTTCAAAATACATTTTTATCTCTTTTCTTTTTCATCACATTCTTCAATGAAAATAATATTACACCTAAATTTGAAATTTTTCTTTATTTTTTAACTACACATTCTGATCAATCTATTACTCCAAAATGCATTCTTCAATAAAAATAAGGCTCTAAATATGTTAGTCTAACAGCGTACTAGAGCAAATAAATATATTAAATTCCAAGCTTAATGGCTATTTATAAACGAATTTTTTAGATACAAGACATTTGATGAAAAAGGATTCGCACATGAATGACGAGGAGACAAATTTAATAAAATTATAGAATAATTTTACTCTTTAGTGATTAAATTCTTAGACAAAATGACTTTTAAGATTTTTTATTTTTTATTTATTTGTTTTGAAAAGAAAAGGTTTGAACAAGTCTATGGCTGTTTGGATGTCATTATAAAGCTCAACCGTGAGGCTGTTCCTTGGTAAGCATAGATTAGCAAAACATGCTGGAGCATTTGGTTTTTCTCCAAATCTTCTGCATTTTTTCACTGGCGGTAGCATCACCCTGGAATGCGACCACCAACTCCACTAAACCTGGCTGCCTAAGTAGATGTGGAAACCTAGAAATTCCATACCCGTTTGGTATCGGGTCAAAGTGCTCTTTGGACACATCCTATAATATCACTTGCGATACTTCTTTCGACCCTCCAAAACCCTACCTCGTACTTTCTTTCAATGGATCCGATTCCAGCTATGAGGTTGTTAATATCTCAGAAACCCAAATCTATGTTAAGAACTCGGAGGTACAACTCGCAAAGGCCTGTTATGGTATGGGATTCGATAACAAGACACAGAATTCTTCTATATTATTGGATTTTTTTGATAGTCCTTATACCTTATCAAACGCGAATCAGGTCACATCCATTGGTTGTGATGACTTCGCTAGGGTACAATCACATGCATCCAGTGACTCCGACGGTGGTTTTGCTTGTGCATCCTACTGTAAAAACATTTCATATTCTGCTGGGTCATGTCTGGGCAGGGGATGTTGCCGGACCTCCATAACCAAAGGTGCATTTCTTGTAGTTGAACTATCTGACATGTATTGGGGCCGAGATAGCAGACTTTTCCGGTGTAGTTTTGCCTTCGTAGGAATGATAGGTGATGATAATAAATTTAATTTTAATTTATCTCATCTTAATGATTCAACAACATTCCTAAGCAATAATAAAAAGTTTATGAGTATGCCGTTAGTGTTGGACTGGAGAATTACTCGCCACATGAATTGCACAGATGTTCAGAATTCCACTGATTATGCATGTCAAAAGAATAGTGATTGCATTAATTTGTACTCCGAATATGGAGGATATCAATGTAGGTGCAAGAAAGGGTATGAGGGCAATCCTTACCTAGGATGCCAAGGTCAGTTCTTTTCTAAAAATTAATATCCATACTTAATTGAAGTCTTGACTATTTTATTGACGACTTCAATACCAAAAATCTGACAATTGTTTGTTGTGATGCTTAAATGGGATGGGGTGTGGCAGATATCAATGAATGCATGAATAATCATAAATGCATCTCATATGGAGCCTGCACCAATACTCCGGGTTCTTATAATTGTTCCTGTCCTTCCGGTTATCGTGGTGATGGTAAAAGAAATGGTTCTGGCTGTATTCCAATATCGGTACCCCATGGTAAACTCGCAATAGGTAATTTTCAAATAATCTTTTGCATTTTAGATAACTGGTGAAATTTATTTTTCTTAATATTTTCTGCTTTTAATTTATAATTAATTATTAAATAAAATTTGATGTCCAATAATCAAGACAATCAATATTATGCAATTGCTTGTTAATTTTTTTTATTTAAATATAATACAATTGCTTATTGAAATTTTTTCCTATAATCAATGTTTAAATTAATTTAATCATTTATTATTTTAGAAATTGTCATCAATCAAATATTTAAAATAGGTTAGGAAACACAATATACGAAGCACAATATGATGAATAGCAATTCACATTGCCAGGAGTTATCTATCCTCAAAATTTAAGCTTTAGTATTCTCAATATTATTGAATTGTACTAGTCCCAATATCAAATAAGTAAACAAACAAAAAAGGATGAAGATTCCAAATTAGAAAAATATACATGATTGAATCCTAAATAGATGTCATGATCTTGACTTTAATTATGTTGCATATGTTGATACTTTCAGGAGCAGGTTTGGGGGCTGGAATGGGATTGGTAGGGCTGCTATCAACTTGCTTTTGGTTGAACAAGTTTCAGAAGAAGAGAAAAACTAAAAAACGCAAAGAAAAATTCTTCAAACAAAATGGTGGTCTTCTACTACAACAACAAATATCAACAGACGAAGGAATACTTGAAAAAACACGACTTTTCAGTGTTAAAGAGTTAGAGAAAGCCACTGATCACTTTAGTGAAAGTCGAATACTTGGTGAAGGAGGTCAAGGGATGGTGTATAAAGGAATGTTATCCGATGGAAAGATTGTGGCAATAAAAAAATCCAAGGTGGTAGATGAAAATCAAGTGGAGCAGTTCATTAACGAGATTGTCATGCTTTCACAAGTTATTCATAGGAATGTAGTTAAGCTATTAGGTTGTTGCCTAGAAACTGAAGTTCCTTTACTAGTTTATGAATTCATTTGCAATGGAACCCTTTATGATCGTATCCGTGACAAGAGTGATGAGTTCCCATTATCATGGACCATGCGCTTAAAAATTGCGGTAGAAGTCTCAGAAGCACTTGCCTATCTTCATTCTGCAACTTCTATCCCCATCTATCACAGAGATATTAAGTCAACTAACATTCTGCTTGACGAAAAATATGTAGCTAAAGTCTCGGACTTTGGAACTTCAAGATCAATCGCAATGGATCATACTCATTTAACCACACTAGTAAAAGGAACATTTGGATACTTAGACCCTGAATACTTTCAATCAAGTCAATTTACAGAAAAAAGCGATGTTTAGAGTTTTGGAGTTGTTCTTGTTGAGCTCTTAACTGGACAACGGCCAATATCTTTTGCCAAAACAGGAGAGGAAAGAAGTTTAGCAACAAGATTTTTGTTATGTATGGAAGCAGACAATCTCGAAAAAATTCTTGACAGCCAAGTTTTAGAGCAGGGTAAGAGAGAAGAACTAATTGCAGTGGCAAAACTTGCACAAAGGTGCTTAAATTTGAATGGGAAGAAAAGGCCATTGATGAAAGAAGTAGCTGCAGAGTTGGAGATTATTAAAATATCTCAAACACATTCGACTGCATCTGATACTAAATATCAAGACATACAGTTGCGCAAATCCAAAGCGATATTGGTGTCGAATGATGACTACACATGGACAAGTACCTCTGACAATATCATCCCATCATCAGACGCACGTCCCCTAATGATTCACACTGCTTGATGCATTCTCTGATTTCTAAACAATTTCCTTGTTTGTTGAATAATAAATGCTTTTGTAATAGTTTATTTAAACACCTAAATAACATTTGGCCAAGATTTTTGTAATATCAATACAGGGATCAGACTTTTTCAGCATGAGATTTTTACCTTCTATTGATTTATATTAATTGATTCTTTTTATCTATCGTTCAAATTATGACCTATACAAACATGCATTTGCTTACTATATTGGGTTTTTTCTCGACTCTCAAACTAGGGTGTATTATGCTACAATTTGGTTTAACACTACAAATGGACTGCATACTATCAACGTATTATTTTGTGCTCTCTGCCTAAAGACATCATAGATTTCTTCAGTATCAATATCTAATTTGGCTTCATTACTTGTGTCTATTCAGAACCTTGAACATGTATTTCATAAATTTAAACTATTCCTTTGATTTATAAAAAGAAAAGAAAAATTGAAAGAAAACATTTTTTCTTCAAAGGACGGAATATTCATTAAACAACCTCTATGTTAATTGGTTCTTTTGCAGATGAAAGTGACTTGAAATATGAGAATGCTTAGGCAGTTCGGCTTTCTCATGAAATTTCAGGATTTTAAATTGTCTGAAGACATTATTTTTCAAATCTGAGAGATCAAATCAAGGATAAATGGCAGAAATTGACCTTGAAGAGTATGTTGTTCACCAATAGACCAACAAGGTCATTGTCAACTTTGAAATGATGTTAACGTTCGAAATTTATCAAGTTTAACCCTTGTTTGAGCTCCATTTAACCAAAAATACATTTTCCATATCTCATTTTCAACCATACTTTTTCCTACAAAATAATATTATACGAAAATCCAAAACTTTTTCTTACTTTTTAATCACACATTATTCGAAAAATTACTATTCAATAATATACTTTTTTCCAAAAACCTTATTAAAATGGAGCCAGGAAAGGAGCTTAATGGCATAGACTTAATTAGAAGACCCTTATACATTTTTTTTTTAACCGATTAGAGATGAAATTGTGAGTATTGTGTTTTGAATGGTTGACCAAGAAATAAGAGTTAGACGGTGCATGACCCATATTGTACTGATAACTGTTATTTGACGAAAAATATTTGTTTGTAAGATTTGGAAAAATTGTTCGGCCTTGAACCCCACGTATATAGAAAATTGAAAATTTATACTCTTGAAAGAATAATGCTAATCAATATTGTCTAGTCTACCATACCAAATAAGTAATTTTTAAGACTAGAAATTGTTAATTTGGATTGTGGACAAATTTTATAAGGACCTTCCTGAACCTGACTTGGACGGAAAAATTAAAAATCAAGCTTCGTCAAGTATAAGAATGAGCATGAGAAGATTGGCTAGTTCCCAAAGTCTAGTCTCTTTGGTTTTGCCTTTGCTAAACGTCAATATGGTGTGTGTGGACTATGGACGTCTCATTGGTATGAAAACCATTATCGTATCCAATACTAAAAGTAGTAACCATCTTTTGCTCCCCCTACCTATCACACATGTAGTAAGTAGTAACCCTTTTTTTATCTCTTCCAGACCTCCTCTCCCTCCATCTCCTGACAACAATTTCTATTTATCACCTCTGATTAACATGCTAAGCAACGACAACATGATATATCAATTCAACAATTTCAATTTAATTTTTGAGACACACCATGACTTATCTATCGATGTGTCATGTTACAACTACTTAGCATAAACTAAACAAATGTGCTTATTAGATAACTATCAAGTTTTGAATATATACAAACTTGATAATGTTATCACCATAGACTTGTCATTTTATTTTATTTTTACATGGCTATTAAAGCCACAAAATGTTAGCGGAGCACTCAATTTTTCATTTTATTTTATACAAAATGTTAGCGGAGCACTCAATTTTTCATTTTATTTTATTTTATTTGCATTGCAAAATTATTGTGAAGGAATATGTCGCAATTAGTTTCATAAAAGTTTTATTTTATAAAATGATAATGATTTAATACGATAAAAGTAATATGAAACATTTATGCTTTAGTTTGTTCTCATCATTTTCAAAATATAATTTTTTTCTCTCTTATTTTCAACCACATATTTTTCAATAAAATAATATCTCATGCAAATTCAATTTTTTTCTAATTTTTAACGACACATGATCTATCAAATCACTATTAAAATGATTTTTTGGCTAAAAATAGGGATAAAACAAGCTCTATATATTCATTATTAAATAAATAAAATTCATTGGTTACAATAATTCATTATTCATATCTCCAATTTCATATTAAATTTTTTTTATCATAAAAACATTTTCATTTGTTTGTAGTCATACAGTTTTTGTTGTTTTGTTGTTCTGCTTTACTACCTCAAAACTTAACTTTTTTCAATTGTTTGGATTTTATTTCCATCTGCAACTCTTCAGTTTTTACGACTTTTTTTTTTTTTTCAAAATAGTGATTCTTAAAAATCTATAATATATTAAATATCATATCAAGTAAGAATCATTTTTTTAACGATTCTAACCCTATTATAATTCAATTATTTCAATAATATCTTACTTTTTATTTTTAATTATGTATTTAATTTATTTAATCATTTAGTTACCATCAATGTACATGTACATTTGACAGGTTTATTTCACTTGTGTGCTTTTGTTAATATATGAATTTCTTATTATTAATTCTCAATTAATTAATATTCACATTCATTTAATTAATATTTATCTTCATTTATGCATTTTGGTGTTATTAATTCTAAATATGGTTAATTAGAATTTCACATTCAAGAATGCAATTCATTATTAACGTCCATGTATGCTAATTGATATCCAATTTTACATAATTGAAAATTAAATAAATTATTTAACAGTTATTGTCACGTATATATTCCTTGGTATTAATTCTAAATTAATTAACATTGACGCATATTCAATTGTTACTTTTACAGCACTTATAAAATATTTTATAATTGCAAGTTCAACGTTATGAAAGAGATGAGTAACTAAATGATAATCATTTTAATAACCATATATTTTCAAAACATATAATTTGTTAACATTACTTAAGATTTTTTTTATGAATTGTCAAAGAATTCAATATTTGATAATGAAGATATCTAATACATTGAAATACGTAGCTTGCTTGTACGTTTATTATATAGTTTTGCTCGGATCAAATAAGATTTACGTTTCGGTGTGGTATGTAGTTTTTACCTTGGTCTTTATTTTTAATCATTTAGAGCTAATTGAGTTGATATCTATGTAATTGAGGTGTAAATATATTAATTGTATGTAAATTCTAATTTGAGTGCATTTGGATGAAACTGGCATGAAAATGGACATATTTTAGGGCTAAATTAAAATTTATTTGGAGCAATTGATGATCAAAGGGATTATAAATCTCAATTGTGACGCTGTTGTTTAGTATGCGAAGATTAGCGTGGTGCTTTTTCTTTTTTGGAATAACATGTTGGCACATTTGGTTTTGCTCTAAATCTCCTACTTTCTTTCACTAGTGGTAGCACTACCGCCAAATGCAACTGGAGTCGCCGCCACCACCACCACCACTTAACTTGGCTACCAAGGTGGATGTGGAAACCTTGAAATTCCATACCCATTAGGTATTGGGTCAAAATGTTCCAGGACCATAAACTTCAATATAAACTACAATACTTCTTTCAACCCCCCAAAACCCTACCTCCTAGTTCACTATGGAAAATATTCCCACGAGGTGGTTAATATCTCAGAAACCCAAATCTATCTCAAGAACACGGAGACACAATTGGTAATGGCCTGCTATGGTATGTGATTCGATAACAAGATAGAGAATTCTACTTTATCAATGGAACTTGTTAAGGGATATTATCCCTATATCGAATAAAGATGAAAATATAGACTAATTTATAAAGGTTTGGACTACTTCTCTTACGATGGAACCCCAAGTCTTAACTTGGTATCAGAGCTCATTAAACTCCAACGAGTGATTCAATCCGATTAAGACTCAATAAATGAGTATACGAATTTCAAAATTGATTTGTTCAAACGAGCCACCATTTTGCGAAGACGTGTTAAGGAATATAATCTCATATCGAATAAATATGAAAATATAGACTATAGACCAATTTATAAAGGATTGGACTACTTCTATTAACAAGGTTGACCCTTTTGAATAGTCCTCATGCCTTGTGAGACGCAATTCAAATCACATCCATTGGTTGGGATGACTTGAATATGGCATCACAACTTTAATACCTAACAAATACCTTTGACAGTGGTGCTTGTGCGTCATACTATGGCGGCCTTCCTGATTATATTCATATTAGGTCATGTCTAGGAAGGGGCTGCTGCCGAACCTCTATATCTAGAGATGTGTATCTTCGAGTTGTATTGTTAGACATGCATAGTTAGTGGGGTCGAGATAGCAAAATTTTCCAGTGTAGCTTTGCCTTTGTTGGAATGACAGGTAATTATGATAAATTCAATTTTAGTTTATCTCATCTCGATGATTCAACAACATTCCTACGTAGTAATAAAGTGTTTTTTGGTATGCCATTGATGTTGCATTGGAGAATTTATGGCTAGAATTTGCATCGTGGAGCAGAACTCCACCAATTATGCATGTGGAAAGGAATAGTTATTGCATTACTTACAATACCGATCTTAGTTTTGGAGGATATCGCTGTGAGTGCAAGGAAGGATGCAAAGGCAATCTTTTACCTAGAATGATGTGGTTAGTTTTGTTTAAAAATTACTATCTGTACTTAAATAAAGTCGATATTTTACTAACTAGTTCAATATAAAAAATCTAATTATTTGCATGGACAAAGATGTCATAATCTATACTCACAATTTTAGTATTAGTATTCTTAATATTGTATTTTTATCTTAAAATCAAATTAGTAAACAAACAAAAAGATCAATATTCCTGCTTTAGAAAACTATACATAACTACACCTTTATACTTTCAGCAGTAGGGTTGGGCACTAGAATCGGATTACTACTATTGTTGTCAACTTGTTTTTGGTTGTTCAATTTTCAGAAAAAGAGAAAAATCAAAAAGCACAAAGAAAAGAACAAAATAGTGGTTTCTTCCTATAACAACGAACATCAACAAATGAAGGTATACATGAAGAAACACGACT